TAGTGACTAATGTAATTATAAATGTTGTTAACGTCTGAGTGTGTGTTATTCAGTTTTCTGTTTTGGGACTGAAACTCAAGTTATTGTGTCATTTGTCATTTTTGTATCTATTCTGCCTTTACAGCCACAGCAGTTGCAGCATATTCCTTTCAACCAATAGTAAATGTATTGTTTTACAAAGATTGTCTTTCAGAGGGCTCGCTTTCAAAGTGTTCTTTGCACCTTCCAGTGGCAGAAAGGGGAATTTGAACGAGCATGTCACCATGCAGCAATCAGCTGCACAGGTTTCTCTCACCTGAGGCAGTAAAACTGGAACAGAGATAAAGCCTGTTCCTTGAACCATATTTTAGCCTTATTAAAAAACCAATGCTTCCTAACAGCAAGCACAGATATGAATAACTGATGCTTATTCATAAAAGCCTGGAGAAAGGATTTACTGGATACTTTAATGATACATCTTTAGATGAGACAGGGCACTGCGCTGAAAGAAAATACAACAAGGGAAAAACAGGAAACAATTACATTATTTGACTGAAAATGAAACAAAAACACAAGCATCAATAAAACAGCTTACTCCAAGGCTAACATGACAGCCATAATGAAAATTTCCTTTATCTATCAGTGGCATAAAGTACTGGGAAATTGTTCTTATGATCATATGGGAGGAGAAAGGTTTAAAAAACAGAGTGATAATGGAACAAAGGTAGGCAAACGTTCACAAAAGCTCTCATTTGTATTATGCCACAAATATTTTGATGAAAAAACATCACCTTTACAACAAATGCTACAAAAGTACAGGTACATCTGGTCAGTGGCTGGAAATAAAGCATTTCTGTGAAAAACAGAGAAAGGACATGTGTTTTGAAGCACGTGAGGTGAGCACAAGAAAAAAAAAGTGAGGAGTAGTGGATCAAAGTCCTCTGGCTGAGTGGAACTGAGGCAGCTTATCGTGAGGCATCATCTGATTACCCAACACTGACCATAATACTTTTTATGTTACGTTTTTATTGTAAATAAAGTGAATTATAGAATGAATCCTGACAGAATGGTCACTAAGACAGATGGCATGATCAAAAGACCAAGAGTGAGATTGTGTGTGTGTCTGTGAGCGTGTCTGTGTGTTTATGTGTGTCACAGTCACAGACATGATGACATGTCTGGGGGCCCCACATCTGTCGACATTTTCCGTCTGCCAGTTCGACTCTGGCTCCCTTCAAGTAAACCCTAACAAAAAAAAACACAACTGGCTCTACTGGGAAAGCAATCAAGCATAGGGCAGGATATTGTTTTTGAACAATTCTTAGCATTTTTCAAATAGATTAACTTGGTGCATAGAGTTACTTGGGATCAGGGTAATGCAGGAAGAGCATATAGATCTTAATCTACACTCACTATGTGATAATCTAAATTCCCAGCACAGATGGCACCACTCTTTACAGCAACCCCTGGGGTGGCTGTGGCTCAGGAGGTAGAGCGTGTCATAGTCACAAACATGTCCACTAATCAAAAGATTGGTGGTTCGATCGTCAGCTCCTCCCTCTGCATTTCAAACTGCTCCTGATTTGCCATCAGCATGTGGGTGTGTGTTAGTTTCTGATGAGCAGTTGGCAGATGCCTCTACCATCACTGTATGAATATATGTGTGAATGAGTGAATGTAGTGTAGTGTAAAGCAATTTGTCCGCTGACTAGAAAGACGCTATCTATTTAAGTGTAGCCCATTTACCATGTCCATGTGGGACCTTAATACCCATACATTAAATATGGACATTGAAAATACACCAGCAAGTAATAAATATAAGACAAACCCCCTTATACTGTATTATTCAGATAGTATTCATAACATATGCAGGTATAAAGATAAGAGAGAATTTTGTACCTTCTCGATCTGACTGCAGACTTTGATACCATCGATTATGCCATTTGGATACAAATAGATTACAGAACTGGGATGGCATTTCTGGTACAGCTTTAAACTGGTTTCATTCCTATTTGACTAATAGAGTCTTTAATGTCTGCATTAATAATCATCTACAATGTATGTTTTGTATTGGTTGATTATGGCTAAAAATGTTAATTGTGGATTAAACATAAAAGACGGTATGTTTACCTGTGGTTAGGAGGGAGCTTTAACTAAATGAGGGGTTTTGTTGACGAAATGTAGCTGTCTAAAATCTTGGTGTATTTATTCTTGAAGATTGTATTTGAAAAAATATTAAATTTCGCAATACTGTTAGTAACAAACAGTTCTGTATATTTCATAACCGACCCACCAGGGTGTTTACTCGAGAGTGTCTACCATGACACTCCTTAAACGAGCTCCACTCCTCCCATTTCCCTTCTCGCGACCCCTCCTAACTGCAGCTTGTAATCACCATCAATCCATTTTACTTACAGGCATTCCAGAACTGGGTTGGTGTTCTTGGTACAGCCGTTAAACTGGCTCTTCTCATTCTGGTCTTGACTATAGGATTCTTTAATTGTCTGCATTCAATAATCATGCTTTCCCTTCCTCCCCTGCTCGGTGGCGGTGTTCTGGTTATTGGTCCAGTTCTCTTTTTTCCCCTGTATCCATGTC